TCTTACTTTTGTTTCTTTAAGTATTCCAGAGATGGCGCTAGTTGTACCATTTTTACTTATTTTCCTTATATTTATTTCTTTAAGCAATCCAGAGATGGCGTTAGTTGTTCAATTTTTATTTATTTTCCTTATGTTTATTTCTTGAAGTATTTCAGAGATGGCGCTAGTTGTACCATTTTTACTTATTTTCCTTATATTTATTTCTTTAAGCAATCCAGAGATGGCGTTAGTTGTTCAATTTTTATTTATTTTCCTTATGTTTATTTCTTGAAGTATTTCAGAGATGGCGCTAGTTGTACAATTTTTATCGAATTTCTGTCCTTTACTCACTATTTACTCTCTTTGTCTTTCTTTAATTTTGATACACAACCATAGATAAATATAATATAAACTGAATAATATGATATTTAACATTTAACGCATTTAAATAATATATATACTTGTTTAATATATTATTATATTATAATTAATATAATATATTTGTTTTTACGTTAAAAAATTAATATTTCATTAAATTTCTAAATAATTGAAATATGTTATTATTTATTTCTTTTTATTTTTATTGAAGTATTTACAATTATAAACATATACATGTATGATTATAGAATGTTGACAAAAAATATTTTTATACATATATTTATATATAAAAATATTTATATATAAAACGTTATAATATATCATTATATTATAATATATATTATAATCAACAAAACATGTTTGATTTCTGCAATTGATTTGATAAATTAACAAATTAATAATTCTACGTTGTAAAAAAAGGAATGATTCATTTCTTTTCTTTCTTTTTCTTTTTTTTTTTATCGTTTTTTTCTTTCTTTATGCACATTTCTTCTTTCGTAGGTGTACATACTTTAGCTTTGGCACAAGGTGGATCAATCTTCACAGTACAATACTAAAATTGTTATAAAAATTCTTTTATATTATTTTCATAATTTTTCATATTTCGTTAAATAAGAAGAATACTAGTCAATATTTTAAATTTGATTAAAAATTCTTTTTTGTTGATTAAAATCATGATAATAATATTATATGATATTATATTTAAAATAAATATTTTGGCAATATATGTATATGTATATAATGTTTTTTAAAAAAACTAAAACTTTATACTTTATAAAATTTAGATCTATTAATTTTCTAATTTATTAATTTTACTTGTGTTTCATAGACTTTGGGGTCAACTTTTTCGCCTTCCTTCTCTGGAAAATGAAGTAATTGAGGAATTTGATTGACGCTGATTGCAGGTTCGACCAACCACGCACTTCCGTTCTTTGCCCACGCTAATAAATGATTTAAAGCTGTTCCTATGTGATATTTCCTACATACAGATACAAGTTAAGTTAATTTAATTTTTTTTTTCTATTTTAAAGATTAAGAATCATAGAATAAGTTAAATTTTTTTAAATTGACAGAATTTTTTATTTGATTATTTAATTAATGAATTTATCATATAAATCAGCTATTTTTTCATTTTTCTTTCACTGTTTAAACAATCATCAATAATATATTGTATATAATTATTTTTACATTTTCATTACACTTTACAATTTTTGTAAAGTATAATGATAGACATTTATTAAAAATGTTAAGAGTTTAACAATTAAATTTGCATAAATTGGATATATTATATAAAAGCTGAGTGTTTGTATAATTTTATAACAACCATATTATTAATGCCAGTTAGTTACTTTTTCTTAAATTTATTATATGCATAACTTATAAATATAACTTAGAAATTAAATTATAAGTTAATAAAGAATAACTTACGAATGCGGAATACAAGTTGGCAATTCACACATAGTTTTGTTTGGAAGAGGATCTGGAAAAATTGGCAATCCTATGTCGCGAAAGTGTTTATTCGTTGGACAAAGTGCCACTAAACGAACTCCAGTTGTTTCTACATTATACTTTTTCTTTATCAACGAATAAATTTTTATTATTTAATATTTAACGTTCAAATAATTTAATTTATACGATTAATTTAAACAATATACCGCGAAATATCGGGTGACTTCTATAGCAGGTTCTTTGTTGCAATAAATTGGGAATGGATCTTGAGGCCATCCCAAGAAACCGAAAATACTCGCACAGTTTATTATTATTCCGCCAGAACCACCATTATCCTTCCCTAAAAGTTCCAAGCCTATTCGAATCGTTTTGTGTACAGTGTTCTGTAAATTTTTATAATTAAATTATTTTATCTTTATGAAGTTTGATGACAGTTTCAGCAACTAATTATCCAGAAAAAATTACATTAACATTATGATTTAATAATAATATATCATATAATTTTTTTTATAAATAACGAATTATATTATATTATAAAAAATTTAAATATATAATATATATTAATATATAATTTGTAATTAATTATCTCATTTATTACTTCTTCGATCTTCGGATTCGATGTCTTTTCTTTATCAATATTATTAAAAATAATATGAATCACTTTGAGTTTGCAAAGAGCATCGTGTAAACTACCTAAAAATTCAATACATCAAATAGAAGCAATTTTATTATGTTTTAAATACATGAAATGAAAAACCAATAGAAAAAAAATTTTTTTTTATTAATTTAGTACAAATCTCTATTTATTCGAACATGTTAATGTTATAAAATAATTTTATGATATTTTTTAATATTAATAATACTATTATGATAATAGTATATGTATATTCTTCGTTATCCTCTTTTTAAAGAATGTTTTTTAAAGAATTTATGATTTCAATAGATTTATTAAATTTAAATTTAATCTTTTCCTTTTTCGAGATAACAAAATAATAAAATGGAAGTGTATTCAAATTTCGAAAATCAAATTTTATTATTTCTTTTTCTTTTAAAATTTAAAAGATTTCATCTCGAAATTTGAATACGATCATTAACTTGTTCGTATAAATCAATTTATATTATTCTATCGTTATTAACTCACTGTGACTATGACAATCACTCATTATATTATAATGAGCGTAGTATGAGCGATTTTTTCCATGAAAACTGCACAGTCTTTCGACTGCCATTTTCCCTTCTTTAGGATCATGGTCAGCTATTACGACAGTCTATATCGATCGAAAGATTATATCAATTTTTTGTTTTATATTATTAATAGAGTGTCAATATATTCGTATATCTTTGCAAGATATCTTTGCAAAATTTTATATATCAAAATAAAAGTTGATGTATAAAAATCTTATTTATTATTTATTGAATTATAAGTAATTTGCATTGAATGAAAAGACGGATAATTCTATCTCTGTCACACTGTTGATTTACTCTATCTTCATCTTACTTCATGTAACGCAAATTTAAATTATTTATAACTTAATAAATAAGCCAAAATTTTTATATATCAACTTTTATGTTTGTTTGGCACTCTAGAATTGATTTTTCAAAAGTGTGAATATATTAACACTCTGTACATGAAACTCATGATATTTCTTCTTCATTTATTAAATTAATTCAACGTAATTTAAATTCATTCATAATTTTACCATATAATTTTTTTATATAAATAATTGTAATCAAATCATTCTAAAATAAGATAATTTATATTAACAGAAAACACCAACACGTGCTCCTTTGAGCAAGAGATGATCAGCCGCTGCAAAACCAAAGCCATCAGATCCTCCAAGCACTATAGCGTTTTTACACATAGGCTCGAGAATTGGTTTGGACAACTCAGCACTAAAATTGAAATTTAAATGAAAAAAAAATTATACAAAAGTAAGTGATACAAGTTTTATTTTTTGATCATTCAGTTTTAAGACGTTATAATTTTAGATAAAAAATATTTTATTCTCAATAAATAATAGATAATAAATTTAAATTGAAAATATTTTAAAAATTATATTATTATATTTTTAAAGATAATTTGAAAATGATGTTTTTATAAAAAAATATCACTTTTTTTAATTTAATTAATTTTAAAAAATTAATATTATCTATTTAACATTAAACATTAATAATATTTTTTATCAAAAGAATAATTTATCTTTTTAGTATAGAAAATATAGATTCACCAGTTGCCAGGTATTATTATCTTCGGACCATCATCACCTTTGCTTTTTTTCTTTTTCTGACGCGCCACACTAACATGAAATTGACACCGTTTGCATTTCCACAGGCTACTGAAATGACAGAACAGAACAAAACTTTTATGATCAAATGGAAAACTAACATAGAATTAAATACGTTCTTCGGAAAATAAAAAAGGATGCAACGAAAATATCATATTACCTTGGATTTTTATTGAGGAGTTTGAAGGAAAATGAGGTTAAGTATCGTGATAGCATGTTGTTTGAAAATATAATGTTTCCTTGTGATTAATACTATGAATTTTTGAATATAAAGTAATAAAGCATGTACACAAGAAAGAAAAAAAGTAATAGTAAACGAAAATGAACGGCAAATGCAACATTAAATGAATAAACAGGGAATTTAGAAATAATTTTGACCGAAAGTTGGATAGTTACATTTTGCATTTGTCAACGTCACGTGTTGACATTCGTTTTTCTCTCAATTCATAAAGAATATATTCGCTTGTTCATAATAAATTACATGCGAATTGGTTGATTTTCAATAACAATATGCTAATATTAATAAAATGTAAATTAATAATTAAAAGCAATATTAATCCCTCTTTTACGATTATAGATTCAAATCACATTTATTAAAAAAAAAAAAAAAAATAGATTAACATTAAAATTAAAAACCAGAGATTAAATTTATTTTAATTTCAAGATCATTTTTTATATTAATATTATATTATATTAATATTATAACGATAATAAAATAAAAAAACATTAAATATTTAGCAAGATATTTCAATAAATAATTCAGTATCCTAATTAAAAAGATTCTCCACATGAAATGAATGAAAATGTCAAAAGAATAATATTAATTAAGGTAATACACTTTTCTTCACTTTTTTTCTTCTCAATTTTTTATAAAAAAAGCTATGCATTTTATTGGCTAGGCTTGCAACATACATTCCGAGCAAATCATAACAAAACCAACAATTTCCACTAGCTATCGACTGTGCTGTCGATTAAGATTACGCAATGTTATATTCAAATGTGCGATTGTTCTTCGATTCGAAAGTTCTTTAAATCCTCTCTATTTAGATCGTAACATTATTCGAGGAACGATTATAATCCTTCGAAAAATCTATCAACTATTACACTTAATTCACATTAAAACTAGAGACCTTTTATTTGTATCTAAATATTTCATATTGCAAAACATCGAAATTAATATAGTATGATGAAAATGGATAAATATACATATTTTTATTTAAATAAAGGCTAATAATATTCATTTAAAAATTCGCCATTTTGACTAGTTTGTTAACTCTATGAGTCTAATTATAATTTTATTAAAAGGTATTAATATCTAAGTTTATGATGTATATTTTCATCATATTATTTTAATTGTAATAAATATTAATTTACATATAATATTTATTCATAGTTCCTATAATTCTTAATTTCTGCTCCAAAAAAGAAACAGATTCGAGAGATTAAAGAACGTTCGATCGAAGAATGGACGATTAAAATGTATAATAATTATAACTTGTGCATCGAAGAGTTTTAGGCCTCGATTTCGCATATCTAAATCTATGTTTTTTTCATTTTTCATTGGTCATTCTCAAGTTTAAAAGTTCGTATAAAAATTACGATTATTACTTGTGACCTTGTGAACAAATTGTTTCGATCTTCAACTTCGATAATTCTTTTGATTTTGTTTCTTCAATCATTTTTCCTTTCTTTTTCGTTGTATATTCGATTTGAAAATGAAAGAATATCCTTTTTTCAGTGTCTTTACGAATGATCACGAAACAATTTGTGCATTTATATTTTGATTCATGGATGTTTCATTTGTATACGTCGAACGATGAACGAAGTCATCATAATGAATTGGATCAATTCGTTCTCGAGTAAAATACTCGTCCTCTTATGATTATCGATTTGTTTCTGTAAATATGTAGAAAATTTTTATCTTATGGATGGAATGCATTTTTTCCAGTTTTTTTTTTTTTTTTGATATATTTTCGGAACAATTAAGATATTTATTTGTTTTATTAAACGGACTGAATGTCGTTTCCAAATATCTTACGCATTGATTGTATTATAGTTAAAAAAGAGTATAGAAAATTTACAAAAGTGTTTAGAGATTTAATTTTGAAATTGATATCTAATCAATATTCGTTACTAATATATATGTATATATATATATATATATATCCAAATGTATGATTGCTTGCATCCATATTGCGAATTGGACAGTCTAAGTCGAGGTAAATCTTTTTATAGATTTTAATAATCGTATAAAAAAAATCTTACGTTTTAAATCGCGTTACAAATTGTTGGA